CCAGCTGCGGACGGTGGAGTCCTGGCAGGGCACTGCAGGAGGGTCTCTGGAAGCATGAGTAGGAGTTTGCCAGTCCTTAGCACCATAATGCGGGTGAAGTCCGGGTCGTGGCAGGGTAAATGGTGGGCTTTCCTGTGCTTCCAGTTTTAGGTGAAGATGTTACGATTTGAAACTTTCTAATGTTAACAGGGATATGATTTGTTTGAGGGTAAAGTACAGGGCATTGGATGTTGGGGTCTGAAAAGACGAGACCTAGATAAGGAGTCAGCTATGGAAAGATGTGAAGAGCCAGTTCCAGGCAGAGGGTGGAGGCAGAAATAAACTGTATGTACGCTGGAACAGAAAGGTCAGTGGTGGTAGAGTATGGCAAATGAGGGGGAGAGTGACTACAATGAGGCGTTTGTTTGGTGAATGCGTTTGTTTGTTTGTTTTGTTGTTCTTGCCTTTTGAGACAGGGTCTCTGATAGCCCAGGATGGCATGGAGCTTCCTAAGTAGACCAGGCTGGTCACAAACTCACAAAGGTGAACCTGCTTCTGCCTCCCTAAGTGCTGTATGTATTAAGGTCATGTACCACCACACCCAACCTCTTATTATATATTTTGTTTGTTTTGTTCTGTTGTTTTTTTGAGACAGGGTTTCTCTGTGTAACTGCCCTAGCTATCCTGAAACTAGCTCTGTAGACCAGACTGGACTCAAACTCACAGAAATCTGCCTGCCTCTGCCTCCTGCCCCACCATCAGGCCTTTCTTTCTTTCTTTCTTTCTTTCTTTCTTTCTTTCTTTCTTTCTTTCTCATTTTGAGGCAGCCTTTCTTCTCCACATAGCCTTGGCTGTCCTGGAAGTCACTGTAGACCATGCTGGCCTGGAACTCACAACAAGCTATCTGCCTCTCCCTCCTGAGTTCTAGAATTAAAGGTGTGAGCCACTACACAAAACAGATTGTTTTAATTTTTAAAAAAAATTTTATGGTTATGGTTTTGCCTGCAAGTGTGTCTATGAACCACATGAATGCAGCGTCAGAAGAGAGCTTCAGGGCCTCTGGAACTGGTGTTACAAGGAGGTTGTGGGTCCTGGGATCTGACCCGATCCTCTGCAAGAGTAGCAAGTGCTCGGAAACAGTGAGCATCTCTCTGGCCCCTGTAGTGTGAATTTTTAACATTTCCTTCATATCTCTTTCTGCCCACTGGGAGCTTTTGACTCAGGCCTGCTTAGCCAAAGGCTGGAAATGGAGGTACTGTTTAAACAGTTAGAGCAAACTCTCAGGCCTGTGGTGGCCCAGGCCCAGAAGAGAATGAAACTAGTCTCCAGGCTTTGTTCAGCTGGTAGTCCAGTGCGGGGAAACACATGTGAAGAGACAGTCATAAGGATTCAGATCTGTGTGGGACTGACACATCAGATTTGTCATGCAGAAAAGGTGGCTGTACAAGGCAGCTGGCTCGATGAGTAGAAACCTCAGTTGGATCCCTAGCATTTATAGTGTAAAAAGGTGGCTGTAACCGGGGTGGTAGCGCATGCTTTTAATCCAGCAGATGTGGCAAGCACTTTACCAATGAAGCCATCTTCTCAGCCCCAATCCTCAGCTTTTTAAGTTTTCAAGAAGGTTCACTTGTTTATTTATTATGTATGCAGTGTTCTGGCATATACCTATATGTCAGAAGAGGGCACCAATTCTCATTATAGATAATAGTGAGTCACCATGTGGTTGCTGGGAATTGAACTCAGGACCTCTGGAAGAGCAGCCTGTGCTCTTAACCTCTGAGCTATCTCTCCAGAAATCCCCCTTTTTCTTTTTTTGACCATCTTCCCCAGCTGGTGGTTTGCATTTGCTCCAGTTTAACTTCCTGTTTGTTATAACTGATGGACCCTATGAGTTCATCACAGCCATATACACATACACCCTGCTTTGCTGGTCTGTTGTACAAAGTATCCACAGTGAGGACCTCAGCCCAGAGCTAGATAGCAGGCTTCCTTCTGTTCCCACTCCTCCACTTCCCAGCTGTGTGGCCTTGGGGTGTTTATTTTGTCTTTCCCTGTCTCATTTTCTCAGCTGCAAAGTGGGTCTAATAACCATACCTACCTCATAGTGTTGTGAGAATTGGTGAATGAGTTAATGGGTGAAGTCATTGGAGCAGAGCCTAGCACATAACGAGCCTCTGGGGAATGTTAGTTATTATCAAGCAAAATAATTATATCATTTTAAATGGGAGTCCCTGTTATATTTTACCCATAATATCTTATAACTGTTGAGTCTGTTTTGGGGGGTGTAACATCTCCGGACACTATGATTATAGATTTTAGTGTGTACAATAACATCAGCCAAGGCCAATCACTTTTCTGTCATTTGTCCACCATCTGGGAGGGAGAAAGTGGCTGTAAGTGGAGCTGAGATGGTAAAGCCGAGATGGGTGGTGCTTGTGGGACTAGGAGTGTGGAAGAAATAGGAAGATCCCAGGGTCACCATGGACACTGGCTTCTTGTGCTGCCATTCTTTTGGGAGAGTGGATAGCTGGCTACATTGACACCTTTAGAGGGACACATAACTCAGTCCTCTTATTTCTAGTCCTCTGCATGAGTGCAGATGCTCTATTCTGTTGCCAGCATTCTGAGGATTATCTGTGCACTCCATGTTGAGGGCTACTTGAAAAGGGGGAAGGGGGACAAAACCAGGTGGTGGTGGCACATGCCTTTAATCCCAGCACTTGGGAGGCAGAGGCAGGCAGTTCTATGTGAGTTCAAGGCCAGCCTGGTCTACAGAGTGAGTTCCAGGACAGGCAGGGCTACTCAGAGAAACCCTGTCTTGAGGGGGGAAAAAAAGGTCGAGGGAGCAACATAGAGAGGGTTAGGAGAAGTGAGGAAGTGGATTAAGGTGTCAACTTTGGACTGGGGCACTGGCTCAATGTTGCTTGCTATACAGCATAAAGACCTGAGTTTGAATTCCCAGAACCCATGTAAAGCCAGGCATGGTAGAGGATAACTAGTCACAGCACTCCATTTCTATGGTGAGATGGGAGGCAGAACCATCATTGAAACCTTCCAAGCCAGCTAGCCTCAATTATGCAGCAGTGAACAACATAGAAATCCCGTTTCAAACAAAGTAGAAGATGAGGACTGACACAAGGTTCTCTGACCTCCATGCCTACACTGTACCATGCACATATGTGCCTGTACTCCAACACATGCATACATGCAATACACATCATACATAAATCCCTCCTTCCTCTCTCTCCATGCATAACTGAGCAAGAAAGCATCTGGTGTGGTAGGGAGGCAGGCCCTCAGTAACTATCATCACTCAGTGCTGAGGACTAAGGGTACAAAGTGAGAGTGGAGGGAGCCAGGTAGGTGAGGCTAGGACCAGCTGCCTGTGACTACTGGGGTTGGGCTGGATGGAGGACTCAACCATGGAGAGGCCACACCATGTTCCAGGGCCTGGAGCTGTGAGAGCAAGAGTTCTAGCTGTCCAGATAGAAGGAGCTATCAGTCAGCGAGCAGTGGAGGAGGCCCATCCACCCTTCACAGTTGGCGGTTAACTATTCCTGAAGCAGTACTTGGAATTCACAGCCATCCTTCATGGCTTATCTCCCTACGGTACATGAAAAACCAGTTCCACTAACTGGAAGAGGTGGCCATAGTGAATATATGAATTACATGCAACGTGAGCTTTGTTGCTCTGCCATATAGCCTGCTGAGTCTCTGCTGAGGCCCAGGCTTCTGATTAAGAAAGTAACTGAGGACGGGTGGTGGTGGCGCACGCCTTTAATTCCATCACTCGGGAGGCAGAGGCAAGTGGATCTATGTGAGTTCGAGGCCAGCCTGGTCTACAGAGTGAGTTCCAGGACAGGCTCCAAAGCAATACAGAGAAACCCTGTCTCCCAAAAAACAAAAACAAAAAAAAAAAAAAAAGGAGGAGGAACTGAGGGTTTGTCAGAGGTTCAGTCTGAAGTGTTTGCCCTTTAGGACTTGAATTTGGCATCAAGAGATGGCTCAGCGGCTAAAGAGCACTGGCTCCATTTCTAGAAGGCCTAGGTTCAATTTCCCGGGATCCACAAGGTAGCTCATAACTATTTGTAAGGGGAATCTAGTACCCTCTTCTGGCTTCTGCAGGCACTGCACATACATGGTACACATATGTGTTGTTTTTCTGTTGGCTTAGTGGTGCACCTGAATCTACTGATATTTTAACTACCATCTGTGCCCCATAGCCCTGCAGTCAGCACCCCACTGCCCAGATTGCTGCCTGGGGGAATTTCTGTCCCACTGGTACTGGCTCAGACACCAAATGTAGGTTTTAACTAAGTCTCTGTAATTCTATTTACCAATAAAGACCGGGGAGTCAGATATTGGGGTGAAAACCTGATAGATCAGAGAAGCCAGAAGCAATTAACTGACCTTCCTTTTTGGCAGGAGACTCAGCAAAAGAAGCGTCTTTCCATTTGTCCCAAACCAAAAAGAGACCTTGAATCTCTTAAGTCCCTCCCTACTCCTTCCTGTGAGTCTCTCTATCCGTATTCCTGGCCCCTCTGTCCTCAGTATGACTAATTCCTGTCAACTAGTCACTGGCTCTGTCTCCTGATCCAAGATTAATTTTATTAGCACATTCTGTACAAGTTCTACAGCATGATCAAATATCCCAAAATGTATATGTATGTACATGAAGGAAAACACCCATACACATAAAATTATTAATAAAGTAATTTGCCTGGCAGTGGTAGCACACACCTTTAGTCCCAGCACTTGGGAGGCAGATGCAGGTGGATCTCTGAGTTTTAAGACGAGCCCAGTCTACAAAACAAAGTTCCAGGACAGCCAGGGCTACACAGAGAAACCCTGTACAGGGGGCAGGGAATGTCATTTAAAGAAATGCTGGGTATGGTGGTTCATGCTTGTAATCTCAGTACTAGGGAGCTGGAGACCAGAGGATCCCTGGGGTTCACTGGCCAGCCAGTCTGACCCAATTGGTGAGCTCCAGGCCGGTGAGAGACCCAGTCTAAAATGTAGACAGCATTCTTGCAGATGATACTCCGGGTTGCTCTGTACATTAAAAAGGGATAGCTGGAAAGGTGGCTTAGTAGTCACGAGCTCTTGCTGGTCTTGCAGAGGAACACTTTGGTTTCCAGCACCCATATGGAGCAACGCTCCATTTCCAAAAGATCCAAAGCCCACTGACCACTGACACCCACATGCACACATATAATAATCTTTGAAAGAGGTGTGTATTGAACTGAGCAGTGGTTCACTCCTTTAATCCCAACACAAGACATTTGGGAGACAAAGTCAGGTACATCCTGGTCTATAAAGCCAGGAGTTTGAGAAACCCTGTCTGGGTAAGTGGGGAGATGTATTGTGTGTGTGTGTGTGTGGGGGGGGGGCAGAACAAAGATAACAGGTCAAAAAGTCTAAGACAGTAATTTTCTTTATTTGTTTTTGTTTTTTTGAGACAGGGTGTCTCTGTGTAACAGTCCTAGCTGTCCTGGAACTTGCCTTGTAGACCAGGCTGGCCTCGAGCTCCAGCCTTCGTCGTGCAGTGGACACCTCAGCAAGGATGGCTGGGAAGCACTTTGTTTAGCAGGGGATGTATTATTCAGGAAGGGTGAGAGGGACCTGAAGAAATGCTGTGGGAGTCCCACACACACACATTGGCCTGACCCAGTTGACTTCACTAGGCAGAGGCCATCATGGAGCAGTGTGCATGTGTGGAGAGGGAGCTCGACAAAGTCCTGCACAAGTTCCTGACCTATGGGCAACACTGCGAACAGAGCCTGGAGGAGTTGCTGCACTATGTGGGCCAGCTGAGGGCTGAGTTGGCCAGTGCAGGTGGGTGACAATCCCTAGGGATAATAGAGCCCTAGGCTGCTGACTGAGTGGTAGAATCTTGGACACACATCTCTAGGCTTCCTTGAAGGTGGTAAAGGGAACTGTTCAGAAAACCTAACAGAAATTATTAATTTATCTGAAATAGTAAACATTGCTATTTTGTTTTTAACTAACTTTTCTTTTATTTCCTTTTTTTGGGGGGAGAGGGGTTCCTGGGGTTTATTTCTTTCGTTCTTTATTTATTATGAATAGTGTTCCACCTGCAATGTATGCCTGCAGGCCAGAAGAGGGCACCAGATCTCATTATGGATGGTTGTAAACCACCATGTGGTTGCTGGGAATTGAACTCAGAACCGCTGGAAGAACAGCCAGTACTCTTAACCTCTGAGCCATCTCTCCAGCCCCAGGGTTTATTTCTATTGTAGCATTTATCAGTACACCATATTTTTTTTTAAAAAATATTTATTTAGTTAGTTTAATTTTTTAAGACACGGTTTCTCTGTGCAGCCCTGGCTTTCCTGGAACTCCCTCTGTAGATCAGGGTGGCCTTGAACTCACAGAGATCCTCCTGCCTCTGCCTCCCAAGTGCTGGGATTGAAGGTGTGTTCCACCACTGCCCAGCTACTTTATGCCTTCTCTGGCTGACTAATATCCTATTGTGTGCATGTATGGTATTCTGTACCCATTAGTGGATGGACATTAGGTTGTTTCTATCTCTTGGCTATCTTAAAGAATGCTAGGAAGATTGTTCACACACATGCCTTTGTGTGGACACATTCCCATTTCTCTCAGAAGTGGAATTGCTGAGTTCAGGGTAACTCTGAGTTTGACCTGACGGTTCACAGGAATCCTGCAGTACAGCTAATACACAAGATAATACAGCACACAGGAGGCAAGTCAGCATTCACAGCACCCTAGAATTTTACAGCTGAGAAAATGAGGTCACTCAGGTCCTGGCTTGTTGGCTAGAGAGATGGCTCAGCAAGTAAATGGCATCTACTACCAAGCCTGATGACCTGAGTTTAATCCCTGGGATTCACATGATGGAGAGAACCCACTCATGAAAGTTGTCTTCTAACCTCCAGGGTACATCATGACACATATGTGTGTTGTGTTTTCCCACCCCACCCCATACAACTAAATAAATAATTTTTTTTTCTTGAGACAGAGTTTTTTGGTAGCTTTGGAGCCTGTCCTGGAACTCACTCTGTAGACCAGCCTAGCCTTGAACTCACAGAGATCTGCCTATCTCTGCCTCCCAAGTGCTGGGTTTAAAGGTTATGCTACCACTGCCTGGCTAAGACCTTAAAAAAATATTAAATAAACATACTGTTCTGTTCCACTTTGCCACTTCCAAATCTCACATTAGAAAGTGGCTGATAGGGGCTGGAGAGATGGCTCAGAGGTTAAGAGCACTGGCTGCTCTGCCAGTGGTCCTGAGTTCAATTCCCAGCAATTACATGGTGGCTCACAACCATCCGTTATGAGATCTGGTGCCCTCTTCTGGTGTGCAGATATACATGGAAGCAGAATGTTGTATACATAATAAAATCTTAAAAAAAAAAAAAAAGTAGCTGATAATCCCAGCACTTTTTTTTTTTTTTTTTTGAGACAGGATTTCTCTTTAGCTTTGAAGAATGTCCTGGAACTCGCTCTATAAACCAGGCTGGCCTCAAACTCACAGAGATCCTCCTGCCTCTGCCTCCTGAGTGCTGGGGTTAAAGGTGTGTGCCACCACATCCAGCTTAATTCCAGAACTCTTGAATCTGAGGCAGGAGGATCTCTGAGTTAGAGGCCAACCTGGGATACATAGTAAGTTCCAGGACAGCCAGAGGTTCATAGTGACATCCAAAAGAAAAGTAGCTGACCACAGACTGAAGTAGGTGTTTAACTCTGGCATGCAGGGCTGTCTTCTGCGCCACCAACTGGCATGTAGGGAGGAGCAGTCTGTTGCAGAAACAGGTACTTAGGATCTGCCTCCTGACCCAGTCTGCTGTCTCCACAGCTCTCCAGGGGACCCCTCTCTCAGCCACCCTCTCCCTTGTAATGTCCCAGTGCTGTCGGAAGATCAAAGACACAGTCCAAAAATTGGCTTCAGACCATAAGGACATTCATAGCAGTGTCTCCCGAGTGGGCAAAGCCATTGACAGGGTGAGTATGTGGGTGGCTCAGGGTCTAGGGGTGAGAACACTCCAGAGCTAATGTGTGCTGGTTTTGGCAGGAACACAAGTGTAAGCACCTGAGTCACAGGTCCCTCTCTCCTCTGTCAGAACTTTGACTCTGAGATTTGCGGTGTAGTCTCAGATGCGGTGTGGGACTCACGTGAGAAGCAGCAGCAGATCCTGCAGATGGCCATTGTGGAGCACTTGTACCAGCAGGGCATGCTCAGCGTAGCTGAGGAGCTGTGCCAGGTAATGCTGGCCTTTGGAGCACAAGGGCACTTATCTCTCCTGCTGTTTGAGATGGTCTTGCTTATGTAACTCATCCTGGTCTCATGGTTACCTTCCTGCCTCAGTCTCCTAAACCCTGGGATTATGGGTGTGCACACCACCACACCCAGCCAACTGCATCATCTACCCCATCCCTGATATATTCTTGACTTTTGTTTTGTTATTGACAAATGCCTGGGACTCACTGTGTAGGCCAGGCTGGCCTCAAACTCAAGAGATCCTTTTGCCCCTCAACATGCTGATACCACACCCTGTCTCTTGTTTCTGAGCTAAGGTTTGGCTATATAGTGGAGGCTGTCCTCCAATGAGTCCTTCTCCCCTTTTCTTTCAATGGCTGGAATTGCAGGTGTGTATGGCTCTCCCATAGGCCTAGTCACGGACATTATTTTAGAAAGGAAGTTGGTCCCCCTACCACACAATAGGAGGGAGATGTAAGTGTATCTGATAAAAAACAAAGTTACTGGTTTCTAGTTAGAGTTGGTTGTCTGCCAGAGCGTGGAGCCAAGACTTGCTCTCCTTTTAATAAAGGAGACTAAACAAAATGGCAAATAGCACTAGTTTTGTGTTAAATAGATTGGGAATGCTAGGAGATTCTGCCTTAATGTAATTAGGTAGATTAAAAGTAATTTTCTCTTGCCGGGTGTTGGTGGCACACACCTTTAAATTCAGCACTCAGGAGGCAGAGGCAGGCGGATCTCTGTGAGTTCGAGGCCAGCCTGGTCTCCAGAGCGAGTGCCAGGATAGGCTCCAAAGCTACACAGAGAAACCCTGTCTCGAAACCCCCCCCTCAAAAAAAGTAATTTTCTCACTATGCCCTTCAGTGCCAGGCCTAGGGACTTTGCAGTAGAGGGAAAGGGTTCTTCACTGTGGCTGACCAATGATGGTGCTTAGCCTTGGCAAACTGGACGCTGAACAGGGCTCATGCTACTGGCAGATCACAACACCTCTGGCAAACACTGCTATTCTCCAGCCAACCTTTGGCAGATAAAGTTTTATTTGGGGCAGAATTTCCGGGACACTACCTTCCATCTCCCCTAGGAATCTACATTGAATGTGGACCTGGACTTCAAGCAGCCCTTCTTGGAATTGAATCGGATCTTAGAAGCTCTACATGAGCAAGACCTGGGACCTGCACTGGAGTAAGGGTGCCCACAGTGGGGCTTGCCTGTGGTCATGTCACCTAGATATGCCTGTCTTATTCCAGCCTGCCTTAGGGATTCACATTGTCCTTTAGGGCCTTCTGTAGCCACCACCCACTGCACAACACTGTTATCTCTCCCTAGATGGGCTGTCTCTCATCGGCAGCGCCTGATGGAGCTCAATAGTTCATTGGAGTTCAAGCTGCACCGGCTGCACTTTATCCGCCTCCTAACTGGGGGCCCAGAGAAGCAGCTAGAGGCTCTCAGCTATGCCCGACACTTCCAGCCCTTTGCTCGGCTACACCAGAGAGGTAAGTGCCCAAGGTGCTGGGGAGGAAGGGTTTGGCTCCAGCCAATGTCTAAACATGTCAGGTAGCCTGTCCTTGTACCTACAAACAGTTCTATTTACCAGAAAGATGGTTCCCCACAGTTCAGAAACTTTTGATCCTCTTTGCCCCTAAAGTGAAGTCCAAACTAGAGGCAGAGCTGAGGCAGGAAAACTGCTTCAGTCTCATTTATACTAGCATGGCAACAGTAAGACCCTAACTCAAGCATTAAAAGACCACAAGACAGAAATACAAGATTAAGAAATAAAAGTCATCGGTCATTGGTGGGGCATGCCTTTCATCCTAACACTTAGGAGGCAGAGGCAGAGGCAGGGGATGTTTGTGAGTTCAAGGACAGCCAGGACTACACAGAAAGATGCCCTGTCGGCGCATGCCTTTAATCCCAACACTCGGGAGGCAGAGCCAGGCGGATCTATGTGAGTTCGAGGCCAGCCTGGTCTCCAGAGCGAGTGCCAGGATAGGCTCCAAAGCTACACAGGGAAACCCTGTCTTAAAAAACCAAAAAGAAAAAGAAAAAGGAAAAACAAAAAGCAAAACAAACAAAAAAAATCACAAAACCAGTGATTTTTTTTTTTTGTGGTACTGGGGGTGGAGCCAGACTTTATCAGTACTGTGTTACTACTGACAACTATTTTACCACTGAGCCACTTCCTCCCAATAAACAAACAACAGTTTCAGTTCCTCCTGCCTCCTGAAAGCTTCAGACTTGGATTTGCTGTTAAAGGGGGGGAGTTCTGCATAATGGTGCATGCCTTTAATCCCAGGACATAGGATGCAGTTTGAGATCAGCCTTATTTACATAGAGACCTGTCTCCAAAACAGCAGGGGATGATTAGTTGGTGAGTGGGGACATTCTCTGTCAAGCAGACTTGCTGGTGATGCAGTCAGAAAGCTGGAGACAGCCTCATGGTCCTACCTGCCTCCATGGGGGCAGCAGGATGGAGATGCCAATGCTCTGCATGTTAGAGGGCTCCTTGGAGTATGGCCCAGAGCCCCTGCCTTCCCTGAATTGCCACTCCATTTTCTTGGTAGAGATCCAGGTGATGATGGGCAGTCTGGAGGACCTGAGGTTGGGCTTGGAGAAGTCACCCTATTGCCACCTCTTAGACAACAGCCACTGGGCGGAGATCTGTGAGACCTTTACTCGGGATGCATGTTCCCTGCTGGGGCTTTCAGTGGAGTCCCCCCTCAGTGTCAGGTACAACCCAGCCTCCTGAACACAAGGGGAAAGGCAGGGAACAGAACAATTGTATTGACTCTACCATGTGTTTTCACAAACCTAAACTGACTTACTGTCCTCCCTTGAGATAGACACTGCTTGTTTTTATAGTTAGAGCGCCCGCCTCTCCTGCACACACACACTGAAACTACTCCACCCTGTTACAACCTCACCAGAACATCTCCTCCCTACCTGGAGCCTAGAATGCTAAGTAACATGCTTGAGCTGCTGCTTAATCTCAGCACTACAGTGGTCTCTTCTCACTCTACAGCAGGCCCAAATTAGAAGTCCTGTTACCTGAGCTAACAGACAAGAAGATGGGGGGTTGCCATGAGCTAATCTGCAGGGTTTCACAGGAACAAAGAGCACCTAGACTGGCCCCAGAAACCCTCTGCACCAAAGTGGACAGTTGTCATACTGTCAAGAACAGGCTTCACTTGCCTATGCTGTTGCTATGGATTTGTCACAACAGCTGTCCCAGTAAGGTCACTGCTGCCCCTAGAGAGGAACTACTGGGGAGGGCTGTATTGGCTCCCTGCTACCCTGTCATCTTGAGATAGAATCCATTTATGGATTTGCTCACCGACTCTTACTATGTACCATGGTAAGAGAGTTGGTTAAACTACAACTGTAAACTAAACCCCCATCAGGAGCTTTCCACTCTCTTGGACAAGCACTTCATTTGCCAGCTGTTTTCTGTCCTGGAGCTTTTCAAATTTGGGCATATATTAGTACAAATACAGAGTTCAACGTACTTACCTATATATGTGGCCCTTTAGGAGAAGCCTGGGAGGAGAGATGGCTCGGGGGTTAAGAGTACTTGCTGCTCTTGCTGTCGACCTGAGTTTGATTCCTAGAACCCACATGGTAGCTCACAGCTATCATTAGCTACGGTTCCAGGAGATTTGATATACTCTTCTGGCAGGTACATGGCCTACATACATACAAGGAAGCATGTATTCATACACATATTTTAGAATTTTGTCTCCAGGTCTATTTGGGACAGTGCTGGTCCTGTCTGCTGGTTCCTGTGATCCCAGCTGCTTCAGCCTCTGCTCTCTGTTCTTCAGCTTCGCTTCTGGCTGTGTGGCGCTGCCAGTGCTGATGAACATCAAAGCTGTGATTGAACAGAGGCAGTGCACTGGCGTGTGGAGTCACAAGGATGAGCTGCCAATTGAGATCGAGCTGGGCATGAAGTGTTGGTATCACTCCGTGTTTGCATGCCCTATCCTGCGACAGCAAACCTCAGATTCTAACCCTCCCATCAAGCTCATCTGTGGCCACGTCATCTCCCGAGATGCACTCAACAAGCTCATTAATGGAGGAAAGTAAGTTGCCCCTGCCTGGCTCCATCCTAGCCTGTCTTTCTTGGCCTGCCCTGAGATGTTCTTCCTTTGCCTTTCCTTGCAGGTTGAAGTGTCCCTACTGTCCAATGGAGCAGAATCCAGCAGATGGGAAACGTATCATATTCTGATTGTAAGGAACTTTGCTGGAAGGTGTTACACACCAAGGCTTGCCTTGGCGGCAGGACTGGCTCCAGTGGATCCTGATGCCTCTCAGACCAGCACTACCAAGAGGCCTGGCCTGCTCAGTCAGGCAGAGGCCAAGGGAAGCTGTGAATCAGCCTGTACGTTCTTGGCTAGGAGGGGGACTGGCTGCTGTGTTCCTACTGTCTTTGTTTACACTTACCCCTGATAGTAGCAAAGGCTTTGGCTATCAAAAGCGGACATCTTTCTATTCCTGCCCTCAATCCAGGGGTGTCCAGCTGTGGCCACCTCCTTCTACTGTACAGTCAACTATGTATCCTTTCTCTACTGTAAATAGCCCATTAGAACTGAATGCTGTTTTTTAACTTTGAACAAATATATTCGCAGCCCTTCTCCTTCTTGTTGGTCAGGCTTGAGCATCACTGACAAATAACTGCTTGCTACAGTAGGTACTGGGCATGAAAACCTCATGTGAGACCTTACTTCAAAGCTGTGTAAGAGGACACTGAAAGAAGATAGCTTGTAGTTCCAACCAGCTTGGGACCCCTAAATCCAAATTCACCTAGTCATTCCAGGGTGCTTTAACTAGGTTGCTGTGCCCTAATCCTGTGTGGGGCTTTTTATAGGAAGGGACCTTAAGTTTAAAAATGCTTCAAAGTCTTGTCAAGTTGGAGAATTGGGGTTTTTTTTTTAATTTATGTGTAGGAGTGTTTTGCCTGCATGTATGTCTGTGCACCATGTATCTGTTGCCCTCAGAGGCCAGAAGAGGACTTCAGTTTTCTGGGACTGGAATTACAGACAGGTATGAATCACCATGTGGGTGTTGGGAGCTGAACCCAGGGCCTCTGCAAGAGCAGCCAGTGTTCTTAAATGCTGAGCCATCTCTGGAGCCTCCAGGGCCTAGGATTGTGTATTTAGCTTCATTTCCAATTTGAAATTTACTGTGTGGGTAGGCAAACTAATTCTATCAGATATGTAAGGCTGTTGACCCCATCTGTCCTGGAGTGGGAACTGAGGCTTGGATGGGCTGTAGAGACAGCACAGAGCATTTGCAAGGACTCTTGGGACTCGCTGCTGAAAAGCCACTTCCATCCTCCTGCCAACTTCTTGGGTCCATTGGCAGCTGGAGTTTAAAAAACACCCACACTCACCACATTTTGCCTCAGCATTTACTTCCACCCCACATTCTTGGAACTGTCTTCATCTAAGCTCAACAGAAGATGGCACTGATGGAAAAGATGCTGGCTTTACCTCCAAGAACAGCTGTTAGAACTGCCTGGGGAGAAGTCCCATGTCAGGAAATTGGGGAGATGTTGTTAGGGTGGGCAGCCGCCTGCAGCCAGCCCAGCAGCTCCTGGAATAGGCTGCAGCTCAAGTCTCTCACAGAGGTGTTGGCAGAGCCTGCACCTCCTCCAGGCACTTGTCATAGATCTCCTGATATTCCTCATGGGGCTTCACCATGATCACACAGGTGGGACGCTTAGAGCCTGTAGCTGCACCCAAGTCCTATACAAAAGAGGAGAAAAACTGTTGGGAACAGGAGCCACAAGTGACCCACCAGCCTAATCTAGCCCACATGTCCTACTGGTACACATTACATTTAAAAATATTTCAGAAGCTGGGCGGTTCTCTGTGAGTTCAAGACCAACCTGGTCTATAAGAGCTAGTTCCAAGACAGCCTCCAAAGGCACAGAGAAACCTGGTCCCAGGAAAAAAAAAAATTTTTTTTTTCTTTCTTTCAGATTAGTTGTCATCATTTAAACTCAAACTAAGCTTTCAGGTCATGGTCCCCCAAGCCTATAATGAATATTCCCACATGGCCTATGAGGGTATCCCTATAGGCAGGGCAGTGTCTCTGTTCTACAAGTCCTTGCCACCCTTCACTTTTTGTGCTCCAGACATGGTCCTAACTATGTATGCACAAGGTTCCTCAAACTGCTCTGAACATAAACCTACCTAAGAGTACAATCAAGGGCGCCACATCTTAAAGTCTTTACAAGGCACATTCAAATGTAGTCTATTTCCCTTCTTAGCATACTGAACATTCCCATCTTACAGGAAGGAGATCTGCCATGTGCCATGCCCAGCCACACAGAAGGCTGTGGCAGAAGGATTGCTTGAGCCGCAGAGACTGGGGCCAGTGTGGGTAACATAAGGAGATACCATCCCAAAAAGAAAAGAAACAAGCCACCCAGACCTGTCAATTCTAACACTTGAGTTACTTCCTTATATAGCCTCCCTAGGGCCAAGCTGGGAGTGGGGCAAAGTGGGCATAAGCTCCTCACCGTCTTAGAGGGAATGTAGACATAGGGCAAATTCTGGTCCTCGCACATAACTGGTAGATGGCAGTATACCTCAATTGGCAATGTGTCTCCTGCCAAAACCATGATTCTGCAACGAGAGAAACCACCATTATTTCTACTTTGGTCCCTCCTTCCCTTTCAGTTGTTTAGTTGTAAGCATTACCTCCAGCTGGGCTGTGAGAGCACAGAGATAAATAAGATGCCCTGCCTCCAAGGAGTCCATGTTCATGACAGCCTCCAACTTTAGAAGGGAGTGTAAAGTCGTGTTTGGCAAATGTATTTCTTCTGGGGGACATGATCTCTATTTGACAGCACATAAATACCACCAAATGTGACAAGCGGTACAATGCTGGGACAGATGAGGTATGGGAGGAATGCCAAGAAATAGAAACTCAGCTCTTAAGTGTCAGTGACATTCTAGGAGATGACTCTTTTTTTGGTTCTTCGAGGCAGTGTTTCTGTGTACGATAGTCCTGGCTGTCCTGGAACTCGCTCTGTAGACCAGGCTGACCTCGAACTCACTGGGATCTGCCTGCCTCTGCCTCCCAAGTGCTGGGGTTAAAGGTGTGCACCACCACTGCCCGGCTAGGAGATGACTCCAACAGAGACTTGAGTGCCACAAATAGGCTCCTAGAATGGCAGGGGCAGGGACAGAATAAGGCCAAGGGAACAGAGTGGTACTGAAAGGCTGGTTGCCAAGAACAAGGGTCGCCTTTTGCAATACATACAGGAGAGGACCAAAAAACAAAGCCATAGAAATTGGCAGGGGTCTGAAAACAGACAGGGTCTGTCCCAAGAGAAAGGTTTTTTTTTTTTTTTTGGGGGGGGGGGCCGTTTCGAGACAGGGTTTCTCTGTGGCTTTAGAGGCTGTCCAGGCTGGTCTCGAACTCACATAGATCCGCCTGCCTCTGCTTCCCGAGTGTTGGGATTAAAGGTGTGCACCACCAACGCCTGGCTCCAAGAGAAAGTTTGCCAGAGTAAAAATGTCAACTAAAGTTGTGAGTTGTCAGTGTTCTGTACAGACCCATAGTCCTAATGATCCGCCCAGAGGAAGAATATTCTTTAAGGGTGAGTGACAGATCAAGAATCCTTGGTTCAAAACCCTGATTCCATAGTTCATTCCCTTTGGCCTAGCACTGGTCCTCACTGCCTGTTGCTTGCCTGCCCTCCCTTGTGCTCCCTTCTCCTTGGCTACCCTGACCCATAATCATGGTGCCAGGTGCCACCTGGAAATACCAGGCCTCGTTTGCCCCACCAAACACAACCATCTGTTAAGAGGACAGGGAAGCATAGCATGTCCAGGACATTTTCCATGTCAACTCAGGATGCCTCAGTGGATATAAGCACTCACTGCCAACCCCAGGTACCTGAGTTCGGTCAGTCCCCGGAACGGAAATGGTGGAGAAAATCAACTCTCCCAAGTTGTCCTCTGACACCCACATAAGCACCAGAGTGCACATGTATGCAACATATGTATGCAGGCACATACACATGTAATAAAGGTACCCTTTGAAATACTGAAAAGTTGTCTAAAACCACACCTAAAGTGTTTTCAGACAAACATGGTTTTCCTTCACTGTCTGCAGTCACAGACTACACCCCAAACGGGCGCACGGGAGGCACAGACCTGTCACTGTCCTCTCTAATCCTCCAACCTTCACTCTAGTTCCAACCCCTCACTTGGGCTACAGCAACAGCTTCCTAAGTCTGACTTGCCTCTCCTGATTCTTCCTCAATAGCACTTCTCAGTGTTCACTTTGCTTTGAGAACAAAAACCAAACAAGCCCCACAAGGACTAGAGAGGTGCCTCAGCTGGTCTTCCAGAGGGCCCACATTCAATTCCCAGCACCCACATGGTGGTACATAATCATCTGTAACTCCAGTCTAAGGGGATCTGACACTTTGCTTTCTTCTGATCTCCAAGGACACCAGTGACACACATATATGTTTAGGCAAAACATTCACACACAAAATAAGTCAAAAAGAAAAAAAAATTGAAAGGCCTTCATGAGATACTTCTCAGGATCCCAAACCCCCAAACCAACATTCATCCATTCTCTCCTTTGTTGTTAGTTTGAGATAGTGTATCTATACACAGTTCTGGCTGTCCTGGAACTCAAGAGATCTGCCTGCCTCTGCTTCCCAAGTGATGGATTAAACAAACGCCTGCACCACCACTCCCGGCTATCATTCTATCCTTTTGGTTTTTTGTAACGTTTTCATAGTCATGCTTGCTTTAAACTTGCTATGCAGTGGAAAGTAGCCCTCATTCTCCTCTGGCCTACTTGGGAAGATGTCTCCCTACAGCATGTTGCCTGAAGCTTTCCAGAAAAGAACTGCCAATCCACAGAACGAACGAACAGGGCGGGATACGTGGTCTGGGTTCTCTTCCCTGTAGTTCATTGGGAGCTCCTGTAAGTGATGTGGGTGTCTGTAGTGAAGGCAGTTCAGGCCAGAGTAAACTTCACCTTTACTGAGCACTTAAGTAGGTGTAATTCAGTCTTAACCAACTGAAAACGCAAACTCAAGTGGCAGAGTTAATTGTCTAGCATGCACAGGCCCTAGGTTCAATCCCCAGAGCTGCAAAAAAAAAAAAAAAAAAACCACACACATAAAACTTAAAAACCAATGTGAGGATTGGTTCTTACCCTTTCTCGCCTTTGTTGACAAATTTCTGAACCTCCTTCACCCCACGCCGAATCTGCTTCTGCTTCACGGCTGCAAAGAGAAGGGTGAGCCGCGACTGCGCCCCGCCCGTGCCCGCCCGCCCGCCGCCCGCTCCGCCCCGCGTTCGCCACGCGCCCTGCCGCCTCACCCTTCTTGATGCACTTGTAGAGCTTGCGCGTCAGGCGGCGGGACGCCAGCGGCTGCGCGATGGGGTTCAGGTTGACCAGCAGCTCCTCGTACGTGCGCTCCTCGCTGCAGCCCTCCGCCTGCGCCTCAGACTCCTCCGGAACGGACTTTATTTTGGTCATCTTAGAGACTGCGGCAATCCAGTAGGTGAATACACGAACCACGCGGCCGCCGCCTCCGAGATCACTTCCGGGTCATGAAGCTGCCCTTCCCTGTGACCAATTGGGAAACGAGGTATTCTGTACCGT